TGGGGAATTCTGGGAATTGAAGTCCACACATCTTCAAGTTGCCAAGGTTGAGAAACACTGAACTAGAACAAGCTGGCTCTTATGGCAGTATCACCAAACCTTTGATTCTCATGTTTTAGAATGCACATTCAGGATAATTTAGCATAAATTAAATAGCTTCATATCTTCAGTTTTAGACACAGAGAAGCCAATTATTAATTATACTAAACTCATAAACCATCACTCTACCACAAATCAGAATACTGCACAAATGAATCCTTCCACAATGATAGCCAGTGTAACATCCTGGATAAGATGCTGACTTGTACTTTCAGCCATGAACGATGACTGAGTATCCAAGGGGGGGGGGGGGGTCACTGTTTCTCAGCCCAATCTACTTCACAAGGGGGTTATTGTGGGGAAAAACTGGGGGATGGAATGCTATGGGAAAAATGCTATTTGGTTACTGGTTTGCAAACAGGAAATTGTAGACTCTTTACCTTCAGATTCTTCTTGCCTGTGGGTTGCCGAGACTTCAAAGAGAGTCCTTCTGGTTTTATTTAATTGAATAGGGTTAGCTAGACAAGTTCTCTTCCTAACCTGTAGCTCTGTAGTAATCATCTCTGGAGCAGGAAGCATCAGCAGCTTTTCCATAGGTGGAGAAAAGTTCTTTTCAGGCATAGCTTCCTTATGGCACATTGCTGAACTCTGATTTCTATCCTGTTCCTCAGAAAACAAGGTAGAATTGCATTAGAAATTATTCAGGCCCTATCAGTGGCCTTATTAAAAAAAGCTTCATAAACTATGCTTCTGGAGATTCAGCAAGATCCAACCGGCCACTCTGGGAATGAGGATGTTGAATGTTTTGTCTGATTTGGCAGGGACATGTAGAATGCAGCATCTTTTGATGATAATTTCCTACAATTACACTATGAGGGCTCCAAGAACCACAGACATTGAACAATGTTTCCATGAACTGAAAGCACTATATGTATTTTACAGGCTGGAATAACAGAATGTATCGTTTCAGATTGCAGATGCAAGGATATCACTTTCTGAAATTTTCCATATTTAAAAACAAATATCCTTAATGAGAACAAGCACACCATAAAAACCTAATTATCATGTTCTCTTTGATATGACAGGGGACTTTTATAAATGGGAGCACTAAAAAGCCAGGGCCATTCTCCCACCATCATATTCTGAAACAATATCATCCTGAATTCTAAAGCCAGCTGGATGCTGTTCTCGCCACATCCTAAAAGTTGAAAAACCACTGAACATGACACTGAGTCTTGTTCCCTGTGAAGGGAAAATAAATGCCTTGGAGCTGAGGCAGCCTTCCTCTAACACAAACCTCAGGGAGCCCAGTTCCAACTACAAAGAAAAGTTTACCATCCATTTACTGCTAGGTGGCAGACTTGGTCACCTTTATCTGGGCCAGGAAGCTATGTAAAGATGATACCTGCAGGGACTACCAAAGCTCTACACTAAAATAGGAAATCAAAAAGTAGATAACATCTTCTGCCATAAAAAGTACATAGACACATCTGGGTTAAGTCACCACAAATCAAGCGTGACTTGAAAATGACTTTCCTTTTTGATAGACAGGAAAGTGAAAGCAGCAAAGAACAGGATTGGGAGATCAACAAATATTAAGAAATGGTGCTTTAAGGTCTGAAGCCACCTCAATTTGGGAAAGCATCTGCCAATCCAACTCACGTGATCAGGGAATACTTTTAACTGCTAAAAGAAAAGCTTCTTCATCACTAAACCAGGTGGCTTGTTTTCAGATACAGTATGCTGTAGCCAGTCCACTTCAGATCTCCACCCTCATTTAATCTCAGATTTATTTAAGATGGCACAAGCAGACAGAAATAAGCCAATTACAAGGCTCTGATACACAAAACCTACCATAGAGAGTTCCTCCAATCTTTGGAGGGTGCCTTCAGGAAGGACATGGTTCCTGAATGGGTAAATGGAGGTGCTATTAAACAGTTAAGGAGGAGATGCAAACATGAGAACACCAGCTACAACTTTACCAACGTGTGATGTACAAAGGGTAGGTGAAGCTATGATTGTTGCTGAGGAGAAGAGGTATGAGCTGAGTAAAAGGAGGGGAAGACAAAACCTATTGAGTCTCTTCCTCAACTCAATTAACTATAGCCAGCATCATCTGATGTTTGTATTGCTAGTATACACAAGATTAGTTCTTAGTAAAGTATTAATGATTTCATTTGATTAAAGAGCTAACCCTACATTATGTTACTACATTATATTTTTGAACTTCATAGAGCACTGTTTACGAACCTTGGCAATTTTAAGATACGTGGACTTCAACTCCCAGAATTCTTAAAGTTGCCAAGGTTGAGAAACATCAGCATAGAGGCATGGCTATGGGAGTGAGTCTCTTCCAACTGTGCTCTGAACTATCTGGCTAAGTGTTAAAATGGGCTTGAGGACTGGAGAAAGCAGGTGCTAGGCACCTATAAGACCTCCCTCTCTCAGCTTCTTCATCTGATAATCAGTTTTAAATGTCTTTGGAGAATTTGGTTGTGCTACTGGCACATTGTTCACCCTGTTATCAATCAGTCTCCATGTCTAAATTAATGGAAGTAGTCTTGGCTTTAATGTTGAGAATTCTCAGGATGATAATTTTGAATGGATCTCAACACACATGCCAGTTTGGGGCTTCATGAATTAGAGTTTGAGCACTAAAATCACTTTGGTTGCGCTGTGGAATGACCTTTGCCAGGTCTTCCTAATGGCTTTTAATACTATTGACTATGGTGTCTTTCTCCATCTTGCTGTCAGTGGCATTCCTTCTTGGCTCTTTTACTCACGCCTGGATGACTGCCACCAGGAAATATCTATCTTGACTACAGCACATTCACAATTTGGCAATCCTAATACAGATGATTCATGAGATGAACCATCAAAATCAGAAGGGGTTTAAAGAGTAGACCCACTAGCTTTCCCATAATGAATAACCATCCTAATACAGATGATTCATGAGATGAACCATCAAAATCAGAAGGGGTTTAAAGAGTAGACCCACTAGCTTTCCCATAATGAATAACCATCCTAATACAGATGATTCATGAGATGAACCATCAAAATCAGAAGGGGTTTAAAGAGTAGACCCACTAGCTTTCCCATAATGAATAACCACAGATAGCTTTTAGAGCAGCAGATAATTTAACACATCACTGATGAAAATGATGTGACATCATTTTAGTCATGAGGAGCTGAAGACAATTTTACTTTTTTATAAACGTAGTAAAATTTCTAAATGAATTTATAAGGATCAAGTGCCATTGGGGGACACATAAACAAGACATCAGAACATGAAGCCTACTTACCTCTTCCTTGACAGTCAAGAAAAGTTTAAGAGGATTACCATTCTCTGCCTGCTCAAACGAAGCCATGAGAATGTCCACCCTCCAGTCACCTTCCCAAACCAAACATCTGCTGGAGCAAACACAGAGACATGGACCATTAGTTCTTGTTCCAAGTCCAGAATAATTCGTATTAATTCAACTGATAAATAACTTCAACTGTCCCCATGCTTTGTCAAACTTCCCTCAAAATGGAGCCTTGGTTTGGAAGTTAACAAGAGCATCCTACTTGGAGAATAGGCCATATCTCAAAATAGCCACAAAGAAATATTTTGCTGAATACTGAGTTTTTCCTCCATACCATCTAGCTCTATACACTAGTTGTACCAAAGTACTGGCAGAAAATTCCAATAAAAGAAATGTATTTATTTATTGAAATCATAAACGGTCCATCTCATATATGTGACTCTGGGCAGCACACACAATTAAAATAACAGAAACCAAAGACAAACAGAACAATTAGAACAAAACTGTTTTTAAAAATTTAAAACTATAAATATAAAACAAAAAACATGGGAGAATGCATTCAGAATCATACATACAATGCAGCCACTTCACAAGCTCCATATTTCCATGGGATTCCCAGACCCAATGACAAAACCAAGTTTTCAGGGCCTTCCGGAAGGTCAATAGGGTTGGGGGCCAATCTCACCTCAGGGGGGATGATGTTCCAAAGGGCATTTGCCCCAGCAGAAAAGACTCTCCTCCTGGGTCCCGTCAGATGAAACTCCTTAACAGATGGGACCCATAATATGCCTCTTCTGCTGGACCACTGATGGGGTGGGTAGATGTAACCAGGGAGAGGCCAGATAACCTGGTCCCATGCCACATAGGGCTTTAAAAATCATAACCAGCACCTTGAATTGAACCCAGAAGCAGACTGGCTACCAATACAGCTTGCAGAGCAGAGGTGTAATATTTTCAGATATAGGGGTACACATTACTGTGTGCACTGCTGCATTTTCCAGCAGCTGAAGCTTCTGGATGCTCTTCAAGGGCAGCCAAGCATAGAGTATGTTAGAGTAGTCCATTCAGGAGGTGATCAGGGCATGGGTGACTGACAGTAGAGCATCCCAATCAAAGAACAGGTGCAACTGGCACACAAAACAAAGTTGTACAAAGGCTCTTCTAGCCACAACTGCCACCTGGTCCTTAAGCAGGAGCCGTTAGTCGAAAAGGACCCCAGATTGCAAACAGGAACTGTTTGGGGCAGTACTACTCCATCGAGCATCAAAGATAGTAAATTCCCAGATTAAGAAGGCCCCAAAACCCAAAGCCACTCAGTCTTGCCAGAGTTGAGCTGAAGCCTGTTGGTCCCCATCTAAATCTCCAGAGTTTCCAGACAGGACATCAACAGCATTGTTTAATTTGCCAAGGGTGGAGATGTACAGCTGGATATCATCAGCATACTGATGATACCTCACCCAATGATGACAGATAACCTCACCCAGCAGCTTCATGTAGATGTTAAACAGGAGTAGAGTACTGAACTCTGCAGAACCCACACAATAGGGGACAAGGGCAGGACCCGTCACTCCCAATCAACACCAACTGGAACCAGCCACAGAGGAGGGAAGACAACCAGCACAAGACAGCACTGCCCACTCCCAACCCCTGCAGCTGGTCCAGAAGGATACTATGGTTGATGATATTGAAGGTTGCCAAGAGGTCAAGTAGAGCAAGAATGGATGCACTACCATTCTGCTTCCACCAGAGGTCACCCAAAAGCATGACCAATGCTGTTTCAGTCCCATGCTCAAGCCTGAAACCCAACTGGAAGGGATCCAATTGGAATTTACCTTGCTTCAGATCCCAGCTTTCCAATTCGTTGTGGCTTAATGTCTGGATTTATTAATACATCCACAGTGATGCTAGTTTTCTGAGAATAACAGCTCCAGTCACCCAACCCGAAGATCACAAACTGTTTTGGCAATGGAAGCGGCAAGCGAGTCTGGTAGCATTTCCGACGACATTTGCTTAGGGGGGATGGAAAATGTAGTTACTTTGGAAGAGATAGAGAGGGAAGGAAATAGCTGGAGAAATTGGGGAATAGAATGGTAAGAAGCAAGTGAAGCTTATTTTTTAATTAAGTAGGTCAACAAAAGTAATAACATCTAGAACAGTGTTTTTCAATCTTGGCAGCATGAAGTTGTGGAATTCAACTCCCAGACTCCCCCAGCCAGCAAGGCTGGTGGGGGAATTCTGGGAGTTGGAGTCCACACATCTTCAAATTGCCAAGGTTGAGAAACACTGATCTAGAAAGTTAATAATGTGACAAAGCCATTTTTTTTATTGTTTATAAAGATCACTAACAGTTGTTTTCCCCATCCCCACAATCTAAGAAAACAAATTCTACCTAAATTGAACAGTTGCTCCCATAGTTTATAAGCAACAATTTGGCCTAACAAAACATTTGATCAACAGTACATGGAAGGTACATTTTAGTACAAGAGTCTTTACTGCTTTCCTGGCCTGCTATGAAAATTTAATAGCTTCCAGATATTCAGGAAAAGATGTGAAACTTCACCTCTCTGTAACACTGAAAAGGCGGCAACCCCCTCCCCACAAAAACATTTTTAAAAATAGTAATGGACATTTTTTTGATGAACACAAATTCATCAATTATTATACAACAAGCTTGCAGAATAAATAGAGAAGGAAAACCAGTTAATAATATAGAATGATGGAGTGTGCTGAGACTGTGAAAAAAACTGCATGCAGGTAAATAAGTATGCTTATTTTCATCTTTGAAGCAACAGTGGATTTTCTGCCTGTATTTTTAAAACCAGGTTGACCTGCTGAAATCATCAGAAATTTTTCAGAGCACAAAAACAAGGAATAACTAGGTTTGTTTAGCCATGATTGGTTTTAACCATAAATTATTGGATAAACCATTCATGCACCACACTAAGCCAAACGAACCACACTATGACTTAGCAAGGTATCTTTTGGTATCAAGAGACTATTAAAGGTATAGCTACCACGATTGTTTTAAAAGTTGGAAAACCTATATTGGTTTTCTTTATTGAAATCTATATTGTCACAATGCAAAGGAAACTCGGCTGCTTGTTGTTACTCGTATAGGTAAAACGGCAGTCTCGTCCTCTCCTCGGCGCGCCCCGCGGAGACCTCACCTGCTCAGCTGCCGGGGCGGCTCGCGCAGAGACCACAGAACGTAGAACTCGACTTTGCTGCTCAGCGTCGCGAAATCAGGGCGTTGGGACTGGGGGGCCGAGGCGGCCTCTCGCTGCCACAAGCCTCCTGCAGCCCAGCTCCATCGGCGGAGGGGAGTTTTCCACCCATCTAAAGCCAGGAAATTGGAGGTAGTAGGAAACATGGCCCGGAGGCTCAAGAGGGCGGGGGCGCAGGAGCCTCCGAGGTCTGGGAAACCGGCAGCGGCCGACTCAGTTCAGAGCAACCGCATAGAATATTTTTCATCAGCCGAAAGAGAAGCTTCTCCGTCGTAATCCGCTTGGGTTGTTTCTAAACAAAAGTGCCCCGTGGTTAAGCCCGCTTCGAATCTCTACCCTTCCTTAACCTCAGATGTGTGGTTATAAGCAGTAGTCTTTACTACTAACGAAGACCGCCGGGGCCCTTTGAAGCTGCTCGGAGATGCTGGGTCACACGGTCCGGGGCTAAACTCAAGTATCACACAGCTTCCTGATGTATTCATCAACTGCAGGTGTAACACAGCGGGCAGTGGTTCATTTACTTATAGAGTCTGTGCAGGGTTAGTTAGTAACAAGGCAAACACTGAGGATTAAGTGGCCAGAACCTGGCAGGGGAAGAAACCTTGCCTCCCAATTTGTTGCTTATAGTAACAAAGGTGGCAACAGTATGAGGTTCAGGGGAAGAAACCTTGCCTCCCAATTTGTTGCTTATAGTAACAAAGGTGGCAACAGTATGAGGTTCAGGGGAAGAAACCTTGCCTCCCAATTTGTTGCTTATAGTAACAAAGGTGGCAAAAGAAAAATACAAACACATCCGTGGTTTTAAATTGTATCCCTTAGTGATGAGAGAGTAAATTAGTAAATCAGGGTGGTTACTGGCTAATCAGTGTAGTGCTGAGACAGCCTTTAATTGAGATCAAATTGGTGAGGCAGGCCTTTGGTAGGCTCCCTATTGTCAATTGTATATAAGTAGGTGGAGATTTATATTTTCACAGCTGCACTGGCCTAGCAGGGGATTAAATTGTATCATAAACGAAAGTGGTGTTTCTCAACCTTGGCAGCTTGAAGATGTGTGGACTTCATGTCCCAGAGTTCCCCAGCCAACATTCTGGGGAATTCTGGGAGTTGAAGTCCACACATAATCAAGCTGCCAAGGTTGAGAAACACCGATTTAGAGAATCTGAACCAATCCTGTTGTGTGACTGACTAGAAATCTTGGACACAGTCCTGGGTAGCTCCTCAGGATACTCTCTACCAGTTCTTCTTATGTTGGAATTTGTGTGTGTCTGGCCAGATGGGCACACTTCCTACCTATTCCAAGAATAGCTATTGGGCCTAAAGGCACTCTCAAAGCTAGCACTTTGTTTTGAACCATGTCAGCTTCTCAGTTTAGTGAGGGCAATGGGTTATAAGAAATTCCTCCACGAGAGGTTGAGCAACCTGGGTGACCTAAATCTGTAGAGAGTAACTGCACCATTCAGGAGAATTCTTTAAGGCAAACATTGATAGCTGAAAAAAGTGATCCATGATATAAATAGTTTTGAGTCTAAAATGTGTTCAAAAAACTTTGTTCCCAACATTCAATCCCACTTAGTTGAAAAAGTGAAAAATAAAACATCACAAGGCCCGGGCTTCAAAGGGCAGCAAAGAAGCAAACTATACCCCACTGAAGGTATTTAGCAGTGTCACCCTGAAAGTGCTTTTGGGAAGAACAGCTCCATCTCAAGATCATCTCGTTCATTGTGCAGCAGGAACACTATCGCCACAGTGATAGTGATACAGAGCAGTTGCATTATGTAGGTGGAAATAATATGCACAGTTAGTTTCTATCTGAGTTGTTCTCAAATGCAGAGTATCCAGTAGAGTTACCTGAAAACAGGGAAGGTGCTTGGAAATCGTTTAGAGCCAGCTTGGAGATACAGTACTTGTTTTGTCCATCAATCACTGTAACAAAATGTATCTCTGTTGCAAGATCATTTTGTACTTATAGCTTGATGGGCAGTATATTGTTATAAATGCATATACAGACATTCACATGTTTGTCTTGGAGTTTTTTTTCTTCCTCAGCGTTTCCTAGGTTTTCACAAACGTTTGAGAAAAGAAGAGCCTTATAAGAAAAGTTTATATAAAACTACTTTATTGCTTACCAGTAATTATTACATGAATGCTTATGAGTCATTTGTGTTGGAAGCAGATATGTTTGGCATTATTAAAAATGATAGTATAGTGTGCAGCAGAAACACCAGTGGAAATAGGGAAATAGTACTTTGATTCCTAATACATCAGAATAGCACTGAGCATATAGCACAGCAACAATTTATACACCTTTTATGTAATAATATTGGGTTTAGTAATGTGATCATTATTGTGGTTCTAAACATATTTTCTGCTTCATTAAATAATTATTCTGCTAATCATAAGAATGGATAAAGTCTTATGCAGGATACTGAGAATTTGCATGTTTACTACCCCACCTTCACAATCACTAGGATGGAGGAAATCCTGCTCAGCCCTCTAACCTCTGCAAGATCACAAGATCATTAACTGCATACTTTCCTATCTAAACTATTGCAAAGCAATAGAGAAAGGTTTCTGAATTCTGGATTGATAGCCTCCATATGTATAATTTGAAGACTCTTTTCATCTAAATATTTCTGAAGAATTTAGAGATGTAAAGCTATAACATAATCATAAAATAATACAGATGAGAAAAGGTCATTTCCCTCCAATGGCCAAACCTTACAAATGTAATTTTATATGAATTTTGGCAGGAATAAACTACTCAAAAGATAGGCCATTTCAAGTTTTTTTAACTGCTTTAAAAAGTGATATGTAAATGCTTGCTTTTGAGAAACAAACATCTAAATCCATTGGCCCACTTAGCGCATTATAGTCTACTCCTGAAAAATTGCACCTGGGGAGATCAGTGTTACCATGGAATCTCCCTTTGTACCTGTGAAGTCCTATCCCACACGATATATTTAAAAAATTAGCCTGTATGCTACAAACACCAGCCTCCAACACCGTCTTTATTCGCAAGAATACCTTTGCATCCTAAATGGGCCATATAAGCTTTCTTTAAAAACTGAAAATGATTAATAGTTGGAAGTATGATTAGCTGCAATAAAAAGTTAAAGATAGAGAAGGGATAATAAAGTCTTGCAAGAGAGTATAGCAAGGGCTGAAGCTGGCAAGGTGGGAACTAGCTGGTCTCATTCTTGTCAAAACTGTTATGTAAACATTGAGCAGTATTTCACTCTAAAAGGACAGCCACATTTAAATCCTTAAGCCCGCGTATATCGGGCTGAATTTCTGTGTTCTGGGCTAGGCTGATCTACACATACATAGCTCCTATTAGAACTTTTGCTGAAAGCACATTCCTGAATACAGGGTTGAGTGCCTGGAGAGTCAAGATCCATTGCTGTGCCTGGAGTGAAGTTTGATTGCAGATGGACTAGAGGGTGTGGCAGGCAGCAAACTGGTGAATTTGGTGCTTTGTAATTGGTAATGTCTTCTACAGCAACCATTTCTGAATGGGCAGCCTATCTAGTACCCATTTTTCAAGTGTACTTATATTCTAAACATTGCTGATGTATCTACCAGTACAAAAAGATGCAGACCTCTACTTTGACAAGTAACAACTGTATAAGGTGTCAAAAACTTTGGTACTAAGAATGTTATCCACAACCAATAATTTAAATAGAAGGGGGGGAAAAAAACAAGTCAAAAAGTCTTGGCAAAATGATGAAAATCTTTAATGAAATAACTTTGTAAAAGTCAAACACAATCACAAAACCATGGCTCTAAACAACGTAACAAACATTAATCAAGTTCTGAAAGACAAAGCAATACACTGGACAGACTTTATTTAGCTAGTACCAGAATATTCGACTCAGTGCCATAACTTAATAAAACACCTTCTCCACTTAAGAAAAAAATGTTTGGGAGGATAAGAGGAGAAAGTACACAAAATTATTAAGAAAATTATATCAAACAGATCACCACAGAATAAAAATTTTATATGGTACAAAACAGAATTGAATTTCATCTGAAGGGCATGTTTTCATTATAGGCCAATCATTTTAAACTACAAACCAGTCTACTCATTTTATTTCAATCATGTTTTAATGTTACTGCTAAAAATGCAAAGAGCAACCCTTTATTCTTGTTCCCAGGGACAATATCCTACATTTGATAAAGCTTAGACCTGCTAAGTATAGGTTTAGTTCCACTAAGCCCAACAGAAAGCACGTAATGGCAAGTAATGGCAGTTATATGTTTATAACTTGAGTTAATCAAAACTTTTATTGAAGTCTAAATATTAAAATATTTTCCTTCAATGCCAATCAATTATAAATACCCATGGACTAGCAGAAGTCCTTGCTAATATATTGGTATTAAATTACAATATAAGTACATCCTGATGTACCAGTTTCACATCCTTATAGAGCTCACTTCTATCCATGATCACTTAAGAATAAGTCTCATAGAGATGAATAGGACCTACTCCAAAATGAATTTATTTTTGCATCTATACCCATTATTTTGAGACTGAACCATTGTAAATGGTTTTTTTTTTTTAAAGGCCATAGTTCTAAACTCAAATAAATCTCACAGCGACCCTCTCAAATCAATATAAGCAAATTTACTGTACTAATACTATTCACTATACTATAAGACAGAGTTTGTAAATCCTTTTGGTCCACCACAAAAATTCCAAAAGTTTAGTCTTGATTTCTCTTAAGCAGCCTTTGTGTGTGCTCTAAAAAATAACCCATTTGCAATACAGTATGACTAGGAACAGTTAGCCCAGGCTGTGATAAGCAAATCAACAATGGTTATAGTATGCTTTAAGATCAGACAATGCCTCCCTGATTTCTCAGTAATCAATTTAAGATACAGGTTGAATGGATTTTGGTCTTACATTATGAAGGTTAAGAGATAAAACAAAATACCTCTTATCTGAAATGAGATTTACCATGAAGATGTCAGTGAACTCTCTCTTGTGAACTGTTCCAAAATTGCCTCACTAACAAAACTCCTTTCATGCTGTGGGTCTATAAAATTCTACTGGATCTTCAAGGACAATAAGAGGAATATGTCTTGAACAAACAAGTTCTTGGGGTGCAAGGAGACTTACAGGACAATGTTGTACAGGTCTACTTAGAAATATGTCCAAATTTTCATGGGATTTAAATGCATACAGAATTGTAGCAATCATTTTATATCACACTGTTCTTAGTGAATCAGGGGTTTGGCATACATATCCTGGTTAAAATGAGACAAACAAAGCAGCATCAATAATACCCCCCCCGCCAATCCCACCCAAGATTACTTCCAATAATGTCTAGCTTGCTTCTCAGTAGTTAAAGGAGAAAGACAAACATATACTAAATGATACCTAATTAAAACAAATACATGGGCTGAGTATATTAATATGACTAAAATGTGGCTTTTCATGCAAAGTAGAAGTAAAATAAGTTACAAAATGCTTAATTTATATATTGGAACTAATTAGATCCTGTTCTCCATTTTTAGCAGCCTTATATATACTTTTATTCATTTGTGCTAATTCTGTACACTACCATATGAACATGGCCAAAGCCTGGTATTTCACATACACTAAGTAAAGCAGGTGAGGAGAGGTCAAAGTGCATTCATTATGAGGCACTCATATAATTATTTTATTTTAGTACATTTCTATCAGACTTTTACTTCCCAATCTAAAATCATAGCTCATTTATCCCAGTAACTAAAATTATATTTCTATTTTTATCTACAACAATGCATGTATAATGTTGAGAAATTTCTAGAATCAATTACAGGCAAGGATAAATGCTCGCTCTAAATGTTTTCCACAGATTTCATTAGCATTGTGGTTACAGAATTTTAGGTCTGCAGCACATACAGCTAATTTTTTTCACAGGAGGAAGAGAGACAAACAGCCATATTTTGACTTGGCCTGAGGTTGGCTAGTCTTTGGATAAGAGATACATATTAAGCTCACATGCATATGTGTGAATATACAACCCACACATATGAAGAAGGAATGTTATGTACTATACACTAATTCATCAAATGAGTATAAAATCCAAGGTGAGCTCTATAAAGAGAACAGAACATCCAGAACCTTAACCCTTTTTAAACTAAACTTCAGCATTATTTCAGAAATTAATCTCCTTAGTCAAATGAGCAAAGTGTACCTATGAAGACAGTCAATTTTAAACTGATTAGTTCAGTAAGAACAAATCTGAAAACTGCTGTCACTAAACAGAGAATGGTAAGAAAGGCAAGAAAGCTTTTGCTCAGCTGATACCTACTGCAAATTTTAACTTGCTCCACATTTCAACCCTATTCTCTTTTCTAAAATTAAGTTCATTATATTTTCTAGATTTGCAGGCAGAATGTATACTGTAATTTCAGCAACAATTCATGTTAAACAAACCTCTAGAAGATATTGTGGGACTTAAGAACAAATGCAGTTGCTTTGCTTGAAAGATACTTATATTACTCAAGAGTTAAAAATAGAGCTCTGTAATTAAAGTCAACATAAACTTGCACATTTGAAATATATATCTTTTCTTTTTTTTATTTCTTCAAGTAAAACCTTAGCTAAAGCAAACAAATCCGTTTCATTTTCTGAACTCTAAACAAAGCAAAATCTTTGGGTTGAAAACGGGCACAAACATAGGGAGCTCTATTTTCTGTACAGCGTGGGACATCTAGAGATAAGCTTCAACTAGAAATGATTTCAACAATAATAAGGGTATACAAACAGTTGGGGTGGGGGGAGGAAGAAACATTAAATGCTGCCCATGGGCTTTACAACCAACAATACAGCAGCTCCTCTTCTGTGGTTCCTTCAAGACTATCTTCAAAAATCAGCAGCTTAAAAACCAGAAAATCCATTTGAATTGTGATTCCCCTTCTTCCACCAAACTCTGTTCCTTGCAGTTACTGTACTTTTTATGCTGTAATTGTTTCTCCAATCTCATCTTAAATAAATACAAAATGGGAAGGAGTAGCCATACTTGGCTTCCTCTTTAAAGTTAGCAGTACATGTTTACTCAGTCTCCCATTTCAAATTTAGAAAGAATGAATTTTTATTTTCTGATTTTTTTTAAGCCTGAGGTAAGAGCCAATTTTATCTTCTCTATGTTTCTCACTAAAAAATATGGCAGAAATACAAAATCACCAAACTTCAACAAGGAAACCTCTTAGGAACATTCTCCCCAGATCTACTACATACAACAAATATTTGGTGTAATCATGCAGAGTCAAGCATACTAGACAAACATCACAAGAAGTAGTGACTTTAAAAGGGCCTGCTCAAATCTGCCTCTGAAATCTTAAATACATTTACAAGTCGTCTGCTACAGAGACAACATGAGCTGTACATACACATTCTATAAAACCTGAGCTGTGAAAGATAGTAATACAATTGCCAACTGGTAGGTAACTGCAATAGCTAGCTCTGCTGCTTATGCTATATTAAATATTGGCAGTGCTTCTGAAGTCTGAATAAATTACAAAGATGTACAAGATAAGAAATGCTTCCTGACTGTTTAAAGACTCTTCATTTTGTATGAGGGAGGTCATATAAGGTTAGAAATGTATCAGGCCTTTTGCAGGCCCCATACTGTGCTCTTCCATATAAATTACAAAACCATTGCTGAAGCTACGAAGTTAATACTTCCAATAGAGCAAAAGGACTAACATATAGCTCAGTATTGCTTTCTGTCACTGGTATTATCTTGTGTCTGTCTAACTATGGGTATAGTAACTATTGGGTGCTTATGTAAAGTCTTCTTGCTTCTGGAAATGTTTGCTCCTGGGTGTCCAGAAGCAGCATGGCAAATATGCACAAACTGCTTCCATTTTAGTATCTAGCTGAGTGAAACTGATATTTTCTGCCCACTGAAATAAACATTTCCTGGTTTGGTTGGTTTAGTTTTAAATTATGCTCCATGAACATCTATTTAAAAGACATTTGGAATTTCAGCAATTTTTACTACACTTTAATGAATTCATGCAAAAAAGTCACCAACAGAACAGTACATTATGCCCCAAAAACTAGGAATGAAGGGACTGGGAAAGCCTTTGTTGATGTCTGCTTCCTGAATAATTCATCAAAAGCAGAATTTTGGGGGGTATGCTTTTTTCTTTTATAGTTTATGTTGTTCTCTTATTGAAAGAGAATGATGCAGTTTGGGCTCCATCCAGCCAAGCTGTAAAATATATACAAACAACTGAGGAGGTCGCCATTTATGGGAGCCAGATGAGAGGAGACAGCCTGCCAGTGGCCTGAGTAGCCAACCTACGTACCATTTCACAAGATCTCCGCTCTAAAGCAAATGGCAGCGCACCATATCACAGTCACAGTGCAGTTGTGGACAGAGTTCCGTAGGCTGCTTTGGCAGCTGATTCCAGTGAGTACTGCAGCCAGAAGGGTAGAAGGAGATAATATATTTACCTCCAAAGAAAAGGCATATTTTAACTTCAGTTCATGTAAGTGCAATCAAAAGAAAAACAGACATTGAAATCTCATGTCCAGTGACTTGCTTGCTGTAATTAAAATCCCAGCTTTGTGTCTGCATAAAACAAAGTGGAATTCCTAATGATCACTTGCTCCACTTGGAGAGTGGGGCAAAGTAGGAAACGTATATTTGTATATAAGCACAGAGTACAAAATTTGGCCATCGCAAGGTATATATGCTAGTCTTGGCAACAAAACGATTTACTTCTTTAACTGGTATAATAAACATGGAAAAAGAGAATCTTGTTGCGTAGAAGAGAGTAAGAATTGTCAAATTTGAGCAAGTAGATGCCCTCGCCTGGATAATCATGGCTTCCTACTTGCACTTCCTGGTGGCTGTCCCTTCGGTAGACTGGCATGATCTCCCCATAACGGTTTCGCAAATAGCTTTTGGAGCCTTTTTCCACATCGCCAACAGGAATAGGTCCTGAGAAGAATGCACAATATATACATCAGCTATAGAAGCCAACAGAAGGAGGCCATATAGATTCAGGATTATGAATCTAACTAAATGAGCTTACACAAAGAGAACATTATTATCACAGGTTTCAAAGCATCTGGTGATTAGACTTTTCATGCTTCTCAGGAAACTGAGAATGCAACAGTCCTGTCATTTAAAAAAAAAAACGAAGCACAACCTCATTCCTAAATTATTCATAATTAAAGCATGTGAAACATTTATTAAATCTCTAAATATTATTTTCATTATGTATTTTGTACATTTGCATGATTGATTAGAAAAATGAAAATGTAGCAAAAGGGAATTATTCCCCCCTTGTCTTTATTCATTTCAACATATAAATCTTCCAAGTAGCTCATTTTATTCCATAATAATAAAAAATAGTAATGCTCATAAGAGAGGAAGCAATAAGGAACAGCCTACTCTCCCTGCTCAGGCATTGATTTATTCAATTTTCAAATTCCAACTTCTAGCAGATGAAGGGTTTTCTATTTTACACTGCAAAAGAAGCAAGAACAGAGTGAGACGATTTCTGCAGTGACCCTATATTTATGGAATTCTTTCCTGATTTAAGTGTAAACTCTTTCTAGTTTCAAAGGAAAAAATGTAAAACTTGTTAATTTTGGAGGACTGTGAAGGTGTCTACAGATCCTATCACTGAGGAATGTCATCAGCAGGGTCCTCGGAGGTATTATTAATTAAATCTGGACACCGCCCAATTCCCAGTGACTCTGGGTGGTTCACAAACTAAAAACACAGAAAAAAATAACAATAAAACCATATAACAATAAAGAAAAAAGACAGCAAAACTGGGCACCACCTTAGCCAAAAACCTAGGCATAGGCCTTTTCAGTCACTGTCCTATTTCTTTAGAAAAGCACCCTCCCTAGGACCTGAATGGCCCCAGCCCTGGTGCTATATACACTTTAACCTTATTTGCAGAGGTTGACTATGCAAGCTGCTCAGAGTTGGCAGTGTTTGGACAAATAAGTCCAGTTCAATCAATCAATCAATAAACAAACAAACAAACAAATACATGTTTTATTATCAGGTTTTATTAAATTTTCCTGCTGATGTTCTACGAAATAGTTTGAAGACTAATGGCACAGTTCTGTCACTCAAGTTAAAGAAGTTGTGTTTGCTTGAGAGACTATTTGGGACATAATGGTTTTAACTGTGTGAACCAACTCAGACACTATATATAAGACATGACATACCTTCAAATTCTTCTTCTTCATCTTCTTCATCACTTGATTCACTGACCTGAACAGTAATGGCAGTACTAGTAATAGGAGTCCAATCAAAATAGACTCCAAACCCAATGTCATAATCTTCCGTAGCAAATTCCCAGCAGACGCGCTTCCCATCAGGGTGGGTGGGCACCCGGACTGTTAACACCTCGCCCCGCTTCACTAGCATTCGGGCATTCTTCTCCTTTGCCATCCTTGTTTTAAACTCCCTTATCTTAGAATTTGTCCAAGTAGTAGGGGGAATCAGAGGAGGTGGCCGAACTAAAAGAAAGAAGGATGGCTTTCTTAGTTCTTTATAACATAGATGCTGATAGAATCTTTAACAAGACTGGGCATTCTAATTACAAGTTTATCTTTTTCAAAAGAAGGAATCAGATTTCTCTAGTCCCCTTAATGCTGACAGGGCTCTCAAAATTAAACATTCCTTTTTCTTCTAAGGGTCTTTTTGGCTGACTGAATCTATTCTTTAAGTTGACTCACCCATAATGCCATATACTATACAACTGCTTAAACATCTTAGCACAGGAAAGTTTGTAAGAGCAAACTGGGTGGTGAAGGTATAATAAATTATCACTACAATGTGGACTGTGTTAATTTGCCTTACTTAAAAATTTTGTTTTAAATATCTATTGTGATTTTTTAAAATCTCCAGAGAAATCTCACTATGAGAATTTCATCCCCAGCATTAAAAATTAAATAAAGTATGTGACAGCATCTCAACTCTATTGTTGTCTTGCTTCATCTCAAATTTCTGTGGATTTCTTATTCTGTCATAATACTCAATAATAATAATAATAATAATAGTAATAATAATAGTTGTTGTTGTTATTATTATTATTATTATTATTATATGCTGCCCAACTCCCAACAACTCTGGGCAGTCACAGATAAAAAACTTTAAAAACAAGAAAAAAACAACAATAGGCAAAAATGAGTAAAGATGGGAAGAATGACAAAAAACTAGTGGGAACAAAATAAATAAACCCACATAGTCCAAAGGGGAGATTCACTTACTCTCACCAAATAAGCACAGTGTGACAGCAAAATTTGTGATAATATAAAAGCTAAATAAAAAGAATCAGAAAACAATCCAACAGAGGGTAGAAATTATATATCCTGGCTCATACACCACAAAAAATAGAAAACTAAAAACTAAAAAGCAAAGAAGAATCAAAATCTTTGTTGCCACTTTCCTATATATGAACATTTTACTATTGACTATAAGGCTTACCATACACTTTATCACAAAACATCTCAAATCTTGCAAACGTTTTTTCAGCAGAACTCTAGCTACTGATCCGTATGAAGACATAGCAATAAAAGCACAGTCCTTACCTTTCTTCTGTTCGCTTAGGAGATCTGTAGTTTCTAGCTCTGCAGAGAGGATATCTACTGCACCTGTATATTCAGACTGTATCATGATTACATCACCTGGTCCTTGTGGCGCAGAGTACTTTGTCAGTACAGCTTCCTATACAGAGGACAGATGCCTTCTTAATATTATACCATAACAAAATTCAGTTTTTGTCCCCTTACTTCTTTAGATATTACATTTAAACTTTTCAAGGCATAATGTCCAGATCTCATACTGACAAACAAGGAAAATTCCAGCAGTAAAAACTAGGTAACAAGAGATTATATATGTAACTTTAAAAGCTCCAGGTCACTCAGAGACTGTGCCTCTTCCTTCATAACTCCATTAGATCTCATATCCATGTCCTTTTTTCACTGATTATGGGGCAATAGAGACTTGTTGGCCACACTACCTATAGCAGAAGTTTTGCAAGGGTCCCATGGTAGAAAATACAGTAATGTCAAAGTGCCTCAATTTTTAACAAAAATATTTTTTCTGCACATATCTTTATCTCAATTCTTTAAATACCTATTTGCAACTATCTTTGTTGAAATATCTTTTCAAGTTTCTTTTCTAGTCCACATTTTTTAAAATTTATGCAACAAAGAAATGTAATCAATTAAAAATATCGGATCCCAGAAAAAAAGTACAGTTCAACAATCTTGTCTGTACTACATACAAGTTTTAACAGTATATTAAACATTTCACAGTATACTGCCACTATAATGAAAAACACGAATAAACATGTTTAGAAACAAAGGACTGTAAAATGGTTTGGCAAGTAGAAATAGCCCAGGAGTCAAATCACCTACCTCCTTTTGGTGCTGGAACTGATCAGTGAGGATCTCCTCCTTTCCTGCTACATCTTGCTCCTCTGGACTACCATCAGCACTTGCAGAATCCTTTGTAGCATCTGAATTTACAGGTGATCCATTCTGCAGCCTCTCAGAGAAAGATAGCACAAGAATGCAGGATGTTTTAAGAACCTGGTATAATAGGTAGGTAAAACGCCAATCAATTGGAAGAAAATAAACAGGGACTTGTAAGGGGACTTGGGATCAAACAGGATTCCTCTGGCTTTTTTTGTTGTTGTTATATCCAGGTGAAAGTCTCAGCTAAGCCAAAATTCAAATGAGAAATACTGTGTTGTATTCCTTTAGGTAGCTGAAAGAATGTTATTTGCCATCAAATTAGTGTTGACTCTTAGTGACCACAAAGATAGATTTTCTTCAGGATGAGTTATTGCTGAACCTTCTTGTAAACAGTGGGTTTGAACTATATCCAGAACTAAAAAAACAATTAGCTATCACAGATAATGTATCCATACAAAAAAGGCACAACAGTTTGACTACTTGGTTCAAACTTATCTATAAACTTACCTAAAAAAATCAGTTTTAAAACATTGTAAAGAAAGAAAATATATGGTGTATGAAAATATATTTTACAGAGAACAATTCAAGAAGCTATAGCAATAACTTATCCCTGCCAAGTACTCCACAAGCTGACCATTGCATTTGGGCTTGATGCAAACATTTAAAGCTGCCTTATAAATTGCCATATCACTATCTAAATAAGTATTATCTATTCTGATTTACAAGAAGGAGCTCTCAAAAGCAACAGGCAGGGATTTTCCCATGTCTGCTATGAAAGTTCTTTTCAAATGGAAATGCTGGAGATTGAACCTGTGCACGCAAAATTTGTGATGTATCTGACTGTTACTGTAAAGGGGAGGAGTCAAAATGTATTGTGGTTTATGGGAGCAGGTGTCTTATATACATTAGAGATGAACAAAGGGCTAAAGGCACAGGAATAAGTGGCAGCTCTCTTCTCCACATGAATTCCCTAGGGTGGATATATACCGATGTAGAGCAGACTCTGGAGGTTACAGCATAATACTTTGCCAGGAAGCAAATTCACTTTTCTAGGAAAAAAATGATTACCCTAAGCTGAGGGTAGAAGGTAACATCCTGGAGAGTGGGCTAAGGAATAGTAGGAGCTTTTTCACCAAATTATTTCTTGGTAAATTAATGTTTGTGCAATTGGCCATTCTCCAATGCATCCATTTTGCAAATGGGAAATTCACAACCATGAGGGCTACCATTTGTGTAAGTGCTTTCATATCATGTTCTCAAAATTCAGAATGTTTCTACTAGCCCAAAAAGTGTAGGCGCCACTGCTGTAAGAAGGTTTCCATGTGTACTGATACATAATGCACTCACAAACAGAAAGATACAGAGATTCTTTCAGAAGTATTTATACTATATATTTGTCATTGCAATAACAACTTTTCCAAACTAGTGTAGTAACAAGCACTTCATTTCTGCCTTCATTGACACTATCTAATGAAACGTATGCCACATATAGTCTCAAATTTCATTAACTGGAAGACAATTAAATTCCAGTAGCAAGTTAAGATAAAAAAAAAAAGCAATGAGAGCTAAACCCAATTGAATCTGTATGTTACAGTACTTTGTATTAGCCAAATTGGCCTATTGCATGTTTTCATCTGAAATACTATACCTCCTAGCATGGAACCAACTACGAAGTGGATTTATTTTATTAAACTGTTTATTTTTCTCTGAATGGTATAGAAGTGCAGCATTCACTACGCTTGACAGTGTTGAGAAAAATGGACAGATAAAAGCAATTGAAAACAATACCATGAAAATATTAGAATAAAGACTTTAGTCATATGGTTAAAAACCTACTTGTTTAAGTTTTTAATATGGTTAAAAACCTATTTAATTTAGTCTAAAGTCACATGGTTAAAAACCTACTTAATTGTTAATTGGAGAGGATGACTGATGCCTCTTTCCTCCTTTTTTGTTCCCCTCTGGGTTTGTTTGTTTGTTTTTTGCCATTGTTCTTTTGTCTGTGCTGTTTTGGCGTTTTTTGTATTGTTCTTTGTTTTTAAACAACTGTAAACCACCCAGAGTTGCTGGGAGTGGTGCGGCATATAAATTTAATAAATTCTTCTTACTATTGTTATTATGGTTATTTTTTCTCTGCTGCAAAGAAAACACAACTTAAAACTAACTTAAATTCATCAATAATCAATAGCAACTACCATAAAATAAAACTAAGTAGGCTATTGCCCAGGCCCTACATCTATAGTATTCCCTAGAAATCTCCATACAAAAATTTTCAGTGGTAACCTATTGCTTCCTTATCTCTGTACCATCTTATGCATGTATTCTGTTATGTCTGAAATCAGGAACCTATTAAAGGTTCATCATTATCATCCCTCTCTGTATTCCATGATCTTCTGTAGAATCACATCCCTATTTTTAAGGAACTATTTTAGGATCTATCACACTGTTTTGCACAATGTTGATTTTAGAAAAATACCATAAAGCTGTTCCTAGTCCTAAGAAGACATTAATGCTAATACTTTTTGTTGTTTTAGTGAGAATATTAGATTTTATTGGAATTAATCATGTTTAATGAATTAATGAGTAGTGATTAAGATGCTGGACTAGGACAGGGGAGACCTATGACCAAGTCTACCCTCTGTCATGGAAGCTCACTGGATGAATTTGGGCAGTCACTCTCTCAGCTCACCTACCTCACAGGGTGGTTGTTGTGGGGATGAAATTGGAGGCAGGAATGTTATGATGGCTGCCTTGAGCTCCTGGAGGAAAGATGGAATATAAATCTAACAATAAATACAGCTAACAAATAAAATGATCAAAAACTTTTTTGTTGTGATTGTTTTCATTTTTATGTATTAAATTGCCCCTTACAGCTCACACTAATATCAAGCATACAGTAAGTTTTGAAGCATAAATAAAACACCAAAAAAAATTTAAAAGGTAAAAACATTGCTATCACTTATCCATTTGCCTTGATTCTCAATAATAGTTAACAGGGAATACACTTGAAGATCCTCTCTAATGAGGGTGTTCCGAAGATATTACTACTCATCATAGCCAGTGGGAGATGAGGTGCTTTAGGAATAAGGAACAGTGCTTTGGATTTTATCTAGCAGCTCTTTAGCAACCAAGAATGAAATCAAAATCAAAGATAAAACCAAAAGATTTAAATCAAGAAACTCACTGTTATTTTATATTCATATCCATACTAATGAGAAAACATATCGTGGGCTGTAGCATGGAGTTCACGCTAACTTGGAAATTAAAGGAAAAGCTTTTGGAATAAACTGGACTGTTGTACAGTATCCTTGGATGGGGAAGGAAATGGAAAAAACAAGGATTTCTGTCTTCCAAAAGTAATCTTGTTTGTTTCCAGATTTTTTCCCAGATAAGAGTGCAAGTTTAATGCCTCCTTTTTTCCTGTTAATTATGGTATATGATATGACCTTATCATTTCAACCATCAGTCGATCAGTGCTGAAAATTGCTGAACCCCTCATTAAGGAATAAATTTGCTACACAGTGATATTCAATACAATAAGCATTTAAGACTCAATTATGCCAAAAGAGTAGTCATATCTTTGTATGCTGCATTTTGCATGTGTTCATTGCTGGACAAATTATTTTTATCCACTTTCAGGATAAGCAATTATCCAACAAAACCCTAGAACAAATCATGGAGCCAAAAATTCAATTTTCTTCTTTAATGTGAAGGGAATAAATTGATTGATAGATGTCTTCATTATGAAAAGATATGCAAATCAGAATCTCATTTCCTCAACATTTTATATAGATCTTTATATATTTCTTACCTGCATGGTAATGCATCCTTTTCTGAAACAACAGCTCCTTGGGATGTAGAATCTGATTTTTGAGCTGAATCTTCATTTTCTAGAAGAGAGCAAAGATAGCTATAATATTTCATCTTTTAGTACTAATTACAATTCAGTTATAGGCACAAAATACTTTATCAGCAGGCTGTGTTGTGCTATATACTGCTTTTGGTCTCTGCAGGATTCAGAGCATCCTATTTCAGAAAGAAATATGAGAAAATCTAATACATTTACTAGGTACCATAACATACATAAATAGAAGTGGCTTCTATTCCAAGTTAGTATACCTGGCCCCAGGAATTTAGTCCTAAAGAATGCTAAACAATTATGTTTATAACTAGGCTCACAAAGATTAACTACAAGAGACACCAAAAAGGTTGGATTGGCTACATTACTCTCAGTGGGATTAGTCAATAATATGTCTGTATTTGTGACATAGGATTCAGGCCCTATAAGAACCAAGTCAGTTTATCTTACAAGCAGAATACAGTATTATGAATATTGGGCTGGAAAGGTACAGTTTCATAGATTTAAAAATAAATGCTAAATGCTAAATAATCTTAAAGATATATTTGCTTATTTAAGATGACAGAACTGAAAGCCTCTAAGTGAGAGAAATCAATAGTTCTACAATTAAGTATTGGAGTCATGATGTTCTTCTAAATGAAATACGGTCAACTAGATTATGTGTGTGTGTGTGTGTGTGTGTGTGTCACACACATACATGTGCACACAAACATGTTGGTGCCAATAATTTGGTTCAGATTATCATATTTTCTTGCTTAGAAAGCCAACATATTAATATCTTGAGTACCAACCATTTCATTCCTTCATATGAGCCATAATTAAACCAGGTACCTCTAAAAGGACCACATTTTCTCATTTTATCCAAACAGCTTCATAGAAAAGCAAAATATTAAATGTTTGAAAAATGACTTACTTATAAACTTCTTGATTTAATCTTAATTTGCATGGTCACAATATTTGACATAGAGTGTATGAATAAACATAGGGTTCATTAAAAGCAGGCCTGTGGAGTCACCACATAAAAACTTCGACTCCGACTCTGACTCCTTTATTCATGGTACCTCCAACTCCAACTCCTTTAATTATATATCGATATAGGAAATAAATTATAAATATACTAAACATGTATTTCCTATATTGACTGCAAGCATGCAGCATACAAGGCATTAAAATTAAAATATATCCTGAAAAAAATATGTTAATCAAATCAGTATCTATGAAATACGAAATATTATATTATTTATATTTTATACAAATTATATTTATTAGGAGTTGGAGTCTGTACATTTTTACCGACTCCAACTCCAACTCCAGTAACCCAAGAATTGCTTCTGTCTCTGACCCTGACTCCGACTCCACAATTCCAACTCCACAGCCCTGATTAATAGGGGTCAATATGTTGCAAAAGGAAACTAACCTGCTGTTTGAAAAATTAACCAGAAACATATATTTTTCAGAAAATAATACAGCATGAAAAGGCCTTATGGGAATCCCATAGCAGCTGCTCTAAGGGGAGGTAGCACCTAATACAGAAATCAGTGGCAGACATCTCTTTACTGTCTATGCCAACCAGAGCTGTGACTTTTCCAGAAAAAAATGAATCAGTTGTCCACAATTCAAAATTAATCTAATTTAGCATATTAGGCTTATATTAGTAATTGAAACTAAAATGAATTTTGTTTCATTTCATGGTTAAGTTTACTTGCTATATAAATATCTTAGAAGTTTTCCCAAATAGCTGGAATTAAATACATGATTAAGAAAAAAATTACATGCAATGTGATTTAATTCCTATGACCATCAAAATTCAAAGATTCACTCAGAACTTATTTGACTGGAATGTTTGTAAACATTTTATAACATTCAGTTTAATAGAATTTGGATTTTGAAAAGGTTGCTTGTATTAAAAACTAAAAGTATTTTAGCAGGTCTGAATAGCTACAGTACAAATATATAGTTACTTTGTGGGAAAAGTAACATAAAAAGGAAAAATGTTACAACATGCTTATTATGCCTATTCATTATCTTGCTGGTTCATTTTTATGAAAAAAATTAATGGAATATTTTCCTCCAGAAATATATACTCTGTTCTAATGTATTAGTCTATGGCAAACCTAGATAGCATATTAAAAAGCAGAGACATCACCTTGCCAACAAAGATCCGCATAGTCAAAGCTATGGTTTTT